ACTCAAAAAGGTTGTGCACCCCTATTATAAATAGTATATAAAATAGCTAATAAATAGCTAATTGTCTTTTCTTAGTTAACAGTTCATATTTATTAAGTGGAACAACTATAAAATATATTTTAACTGTCATCACAAAAAAAATTTTTAACATCTCATTCTCATACTCTCATTCTCATTGTTAGAATAATTTTTAAGTTTATAAATTAGCCTAGTATAAATATGGTGAGAAATTATAAGCCTAAAAAGGATACTAAGCTTCTAGAAAGCAAAATTAGCATATTTCTTTAAATGATTGAAAATTAAAATTTCAGTATGAGAGCTGTTGACATACCTTACTTAACTTTCAGGGATGAGATTAGCCAAAAGGCAAAAAAGCTGAATTTCCACGATAGTAAATTTTACGCAAGTGCAATCCTTTAATAATAAATTCCAGACAGTTTAAGGTAATAAATAATGTGTTGACATACAATTGTGTACTAATCTATTATTATATAAATGATTACATTGATACTTAACATTTAGTGAAAATAAAAATTACCAATTGAAAAAATAAAGCTGGAAATTATATTTTTCCTCAGTTCACATAAGAGACAATTATTACTTGAAAAACTACCTGGTTTCAATTAATTAAAATTAATTCAATTAATTCTGGTTTTAATAAATTAAAACTACTGAGAATATACAATATTTCATTTCTTTTAATTAATACTGTTATGTGATTTATAGCAAATATATCAGTAATAATACTTTTTAAATTATATTGGGAAAAAAAAACTTTCACAATGGACCGAATCTTGTAACACTTACATATACTAATAATCGGCCTTAGAAAAACAGTTCCCTTTATAGTAACTATATAAATAAAAAAAATTTACTTCCTACAAGAATCGCGATAGTTGATCTTAAAATAGCGTGAATATGAATAACAATTATGGATTTTGAAATCACATGAATATGAAACTAGATATACGATTTTGAAAATGAGAAAATACAAACTGAGATTCATAATTTTTAGATCGCGTAAATACGAATCATGATGCGATAAAATAAAAATTAAACATTAACAAAAATTCTGAAATCACAGAAGTTTTGATGCATTCAGATAAATTGAGATATAGAATTTTTAAAACGCGTAAATACAAATCACGATTGATAATTTTTAGATCGCGTAAATACGAATCATGATGCGATAAAATAAAAAAATAAACAATAACAAAAATTCTGAAATCACAGAAGTTTTGATGCATTCAGATAAATTGCTCTAGAAATGCTTTTTCTTTCATTTTTTGAAAGAACACCATAATTTTTAAAGAACATGATAAAAACATTTTATATTTTAATAAAATATGACTGTGAATGGGGATTTTGTTACAAATTCAGATATTCGGAACACAATGAAATTTGGGTCATGCTTTTAAATTCCATTTAAAAAATTTGATTTTTCGGCGACCTAAATCCATGATTTTCCATAATTTTTTTTAAAAAAATAGTTAAAGTCATGACATTTCATAAAAATTTTGTTCAATACCGAAATTCGTGACTTTTCAAGATTTCTCATGACTTTCGAGGTGCGCAGATACCCTGTAATTATGGAATATTTTCATAATACCTCTTCTCCCTAAGCAATTGCATTTTATTAAATAAAGTAATTCAAAGCAATCCGCTGAAATCCAAAAATATTGATGAATTTGTACTTTCAAAAGCATTATAGGGTATAAAAAGGGAAGGAAAGAAATTGTCAATGTTTCAAAACTTAGCCTACTAGATTTTAGTGAAATCCTTGCTATAAGGCAAAGTTGTGTTATAATTTAATGCTCACCCGAAGCATTCACCAAATGCAATAGAATCATAAATTCAGCAAAATTAATTGCTTTGGGGAGTGATTTCATAACTAGTAACTTGCGTTTACTGTTTTGCTATCACGTCACTATCATATCTCTGCTCTTGCGTGCTGTTCGTGAGCACTTGACATCGTCTCCCAACAGTTAGCGCTGCTTCGCGATGCACTTTGAAATTAAGTATACTGTTGATGTTGACGTCACATAACCTACTGGCGTGATATCCCTTCCAGCTGTGTTGAATGTAGGTTTTTGCTCTTAGGAAAATTTATGCTGTACTAAAGAATTCCTCTTTGCATCATGCTTTTAAAATTGTCACATAAGGATTATACAACAGATTGGCTGTTTTAATAAATTGACCAATCTCTTATTCAGCATTTTCACATGATTTTTCAAAGTCTGATAGTTCTAATAAGATGCCATTATAATGCATGACTTCCAGGATGAGTAATCACTTTTTGATTTGAGATTAATCAGTGGTAAATTAAAATCATTTTCTGGTCTGTTTTTAGCAATTTCAGATATTTCTAGTTTTCCCGACAATTTTTATAGGATTTTTAAAAGTGCGACACATTTAGTATGATGTCAGGAATTTTGAATATGAACGATCACTTATTGACCCATTGGATTTGGGTTAGTTTAAATTTTACTATTTTAGAATTTTTACACAGCTGTAACTTGATGTAGAGAGTAAAACTTTGTTAGTTCGTTGTTTTTAATGATATTAATGAGTTAACATGTCTTATATACTAGTGAATTGGAATTGTAGTGGTAGACACACTACAAGGGGAGATTTCCGTATCGTGATCAGTGGCAGAATAATTGCCAAGTCTTGGAAACTTTCAGGCAGTGGCCCGCGAGAAACTAAAAAAGAAAAAAAAAAAAAATCACAGAAAGAGATCAACTCAAGAGGGATAACTCATAGCACCCTCCCCTCGGGTTAACATCTACATGTTTTTCTTTTTATTTGCAAGTTTAAAATCTATTTGGCAACTTGGCGAGACGGATCACAATGTGGAAATATCCCTCACTACACATTGATGTAGTAAGAAATAAGCGTTTCAACCTTACTTACAAGATTACACTTACACACAAAATAAGAATTCAAACAATATTGCAGCTGTAACAAGATAAAAATTCTCCTTCCTCAAAATTAGTAACATGATATTTAAAACCTTAAGTATATATTAAGTCTCGCTATTATGGAAGCGTTAGACTACTTTGAAAAGTTTTCCAAAGCAATTATTAGTCCAGAGACTTGATACACAAGAGACTTTATATACAGAGACTTGCACTTGATACAAAAATATCACTTATGAGGTACTACTATTTTTTATATTACATAATACTCTGCCTTAGTGGACAACATAACTTACCTCTTCAGCTGAACTAGTCTGATTTTCAGACGGAGTTGTAGTGCTTGCTGGAGTTGCAGTTTGAGGTTGAGAATCTTTAGCAGTTTGATACTCAGGGTAAGTCGTCGTAAAATTGGCAGTAGTGGGGACCTGTCCAACTGGCACAGTATTTGTATATGCATATTGTTGCCATGCAGCCCATTGTTGTTGTACATCAGGACTCATCGCAGCATACTGATTGTAACCAGACGGCCATTGAGGCGGTGCTATTTGTCCTGTAGCGGGTGTTTGGACATAACCAGCAGCTGCAGGATTTGTAGCAGGAGTTCCACCCCATTGCCAAGCTTGATACATAGTTTTCCTAATATAATAAAGGTTCAATTTAAAAACCTTAGTATTATATGGAATAATCTGTCTTGCCTTTTGAGGGTAAATAAATTATTTAGATGATATTTAGCAATCTTTTCCTTATTAGAACGCCATTTTGTTCTTAGAAAACGTATTCTTTGGTATCTAACAACAGATAAAAGTTAAAGTTTCGAAAGAATTGTTGCCACACATACAAATACAATTTGATTATTTAGAGGAATCCTAAGCGGAACTGACTTTGCAGCCGAGATACGATCACAACGCTTGACGACGCCATCTGGGGTGACAATATCAATTGATTCAATATATGTACGCATGTATTATGCCCTATGTAATAACAATGTATGCACTTATGTATAAACAGGGCGCAAAAAAGGGGAAAAAACTGAAAATATTTTATCTATTGATCGGATTTTAATGTATAGCTCGTTCACCAGGAATTGGCACTTGACTCCGCCTTCATCATGTGGTATACGACGATACTATTTCGCTATTTTTGTTATTGTTATTGTTGTTAATTTACGTCGCACTAGAGCTGCACAATGGGCTATTGGCGACGGTCTGGGAAACATCCCGGAGGATGATCCGAAGACATGCAATCACAATTTTGATCCTCTGTGGAGGGGATGGCACCCCCTCTTCGGTAGCCTGACGACCTGCGCCCGAAGTCGAGCACTTTACGGTAGCACAGTTTAACGACGCTATTTTTGGGAGAAGGTTGTGAACAATCCTGAACAATGTTGCTATTGTGCGATCGTATGGCAAAAATATTCATTTTGCAAACTTTATCTGCATTTTTTTTAAACTAAATATTTCATAAATTTGATGATATTTCGCTCATTTTTTATGATATTTCTCTCTTTTGAGTGAATAGTATGTCCTTTTTGAGACATTCTGATGGGAATACAGCAGTTTTTGAAATTAAAATATATTTATAGTGTCTCCAGATTCGATTAACTTAATTCTAGTTATAGAGTTCTAATATGAGGGTCAGATGCATTAAATTCGAATTTGAGAAAATTTTGGAAGGTCGATGAGATAGGAAATGAATTACCTAAAAGTAAGGAAAATTCTATATGCGAAGAACATAACATGTTAACGCGTAAGAGAGATAAGACAAAAAAATATATAGTTTCCATACCATTTCGGAAGCATTGGTCAGCTTTTGTGAGATTCGAGGTGCATTGCATAGCTCTTAAGAGACTTGAATCGCTGTGGATTCGTTTGTCTCGTGACCAAAACTACCTAAAATTGCATTGAGACTTTTTGAATGAATATGAAGAATGAGGACATATGACTGAAGTAAGCCAGAGTTATGAACCCAAAGTTTCGTATTATATACCCCATTATGACATTTATAAGGCTCAAAAGAGCGCAACAAAACTACGAATAGTATTCAATGCATCGACCTTAACTACCTTCTCTCAGCTCCATTCGATACAATAGTGAAGTCATTCAGGATGATATTTTTTCGTCACTAGTGAGATTTAGAAAGCACAGATGTGCGTTCACGGGCAGACATTCGTCGTATGCACTGCCTTATTGACATTGAAGAGAATCACAGAAAATTAAAAAGAAATTTGTGGAAAGAGGAGATTGACAAACCCGTTAAGGAGTAGCAGCTAAACACCGTCACATACGGAACAGTTAGTGCCCCATATTTAGCAATGATAACTCTTAAACGAATTTCCATCCACGACGGTAAAAATTTTCCATTGGCTGCATCAGTTTTGTGTAATGACCTATACATGAATGACATATTGACTGGAACTCCAACATTCGAGACTTAGCAACCCCCGTCTTATAGAGATTCTGAAGACTGCTCAGATGTATTTGCACAAGTGGTGTCTGAGCACGGTTTGCCTGACAGCAAGGGAACTCAAACCTATGATACGTCTACCACTAAGATATTTCATATCAGCATTGTGGTCGGTGCGAACCGGGTGCGGTATTCGTGTCCACCAGCCATCTCTGGGAATCGCACCCAGTTCATCCTCATTGGAAGGCGAATACTCAATCCCTTGAGCCCCCAAAGCGCATTGCAGGTTATTTCATACTTTATAGCCGTCGTTGAACAGCAGACCCAAATTTGAGTTTACGGCTACCAATGATCAACTCCTTAGCCTTGTAATTTAGAACTCAATCCAGAGGACAAGGAAACTGCTGTCCAAACTCAAAACTCAAAACGAATAAATATCGAATCCGGAGCTA